GGCTTAGAACAAAAGATTCAGAGTTCATAGGTTAATAGTAGCTTAAGCCTTTCTGTGTTTGGACTATGGTAGCACAGGAATTACATGTGTGTTAACAAAGGGATCAACTGTGTAAAGCCAGTAACATATCTCTTCTAACTTTTCTTCAGGTAAACGCGTGTGCATGGGAGAGCAGTTGGCAAAAATGGAGCTATTCTTGATTTTCACAAGTCTAATGCAAAGTTTTACCTTTTTGTACCCTGAAAATGCTGCAAAACCATCCATGGAGGGAAGGTTTGGTCTAACTTTGGCTCCATGTCCATTCAACATAATAGCTTTGAAGAAATGATATAACATCAAAAAAGATTTAGCAAAGAAATACTGCACTTTTAAAATCCAGCTTTTTTTTGTTTCTATCTCTTGTTTCTTTTTTCTCAGGAAAAGTCCAGCTGCATATGCGTTCATAGTCAGTGATCAGTCCATTTAGACTTCTGGAAAGTAAAGATTTTCTTTGTCAGCTGTTGCATTCCACAAACAAACTGACAGCATAGTTTTCAATTTGATATTAAAACTTGCTGGGCTTAAACCCTGTCTATGAGCTATTCCTGTCAGTTTGTCAAATGTTAATTATGGGAGAATGGTCCAAAACATCTGTTAATGCTTTAGCAGATAGTAATTGTAAAAAATTGTAAAAGCAGCACATAAACGATTAATTTACCAAAGGAGTGAAGGACATCATGTAGTATCAAAAGGATTAACAAATGACAGGGGGTTAGCATTTTCTGTGTAAAGAAGCATTGTAATTGAGCTTAACTAATGACATACGCTTTTTGGAAACTACTAAATGACACTTCTATTAACCTTGGAGGATTCTTTAATGCAAGTAACTCATAGGTGTAGATAGGATCGAATCAGTCTGGATTCCTGGATTCAAACGTACTTGACTATCAGGGCTCACTAAAAACATGTAGGTGCCATCTCTGAAAAGCACAGGTTTGAGGCCAAATGAATGCTTGAATATGCCATATTCTCAACATGAAACAAGTGTGCAGCATATGGATGCAGATGTTTTATTTCAGCATATAAATGAGAGCAGAATCCTCTAACAAGAAACAGCAGAAGTCTGTTCTCTCTGGTGCCAAGCAGATATTCAAGATGACATCTGTGCCGCCTCTTGGCATTCACTGTTTTCCCCACAGCAGCAGTGGCTGCAGTCTGGATGAGACCAACAGCCTCTCATAGGGAAAAACTCTACATGTGTAATCCTGGACTCGGAGCTTGCACTCAAGTTTTTCATTCGCCGGCAGTACGGACAGTACTGCCACAACCTCTACGTCTTTGGGAACTGGACTCTTCAAATATGACATCACAGTGGCATTAGAGGTGAAGGTCTTTATACATTTACCATGGAACAGAAGGAATCTGACAAACTCGAGGTTTGAATATAATGTCTTTGTTATCTTCCACATGAAGTATAAATATCTGGTTCATACAGTACTACTGTATCAGTACCTTACTCTTTACATATGCAGAATCTTAGTGCTGTTAACCACTGTCAAACCAATGGCCAAGGAAACCTCATGTTAGGTGTTTTGGAACAGGGCAATCAGTCTTGCCTTGTATTTGAAAGATCTTTAAGGTGATCTTTTGGGGGAATATATAACAATTAACCTTTAATTATTCTTAATTATTATTAAATCACTTTATACTCCTTTTGATCTAGCAGAATTTCATATCACATGAATTAAGTTCTTATGTACTCTTTTAAAGAAAGTTTTCTCCCCGTCACTGGAGATCTAGAGAATACTGGGAGTCCTCCTAATGTCAAGTTTACAAGATTGGAATGTTAATTTAACTGTAATTTAGAATTGGGTATTCCATGGCAGAAACTAAACCTAAATTGTAAAAGAAGAATCAGCTTTTCAGCTTTAAATTAATGTCTGGTTTTGTCACTTTTAAACTTGAAATTTTATAAGCCAGGTAGTGCCTAACAAAGACTGTAAGATAGTTATTTTGGGTTTAAATTAAGGTTTTCTGTTACCTATTTTGAATAACAGAGTGCCTTAATTTCTGAATTATGTATTTAATTGGTCAGGTATCCCACTGTTTATGTGGGAACTTCCAGTTCTTATGTAGGCTAACTTTGGACTTTGTAAGCTTCTGTTAAATTTTTTATTTGTATGAAATTTTTGAAAACATTGCACAATAAAAAGTTGAATTTGATACCAATGCTAGTGAACTTGCTCTAAAAGCTGACAGTATTGGAGGATTAAGCACTTGTTTCTTTAATTTTGTATTTTCCAATGAGTAAATAGATTCTGTACAGTTGGGATTTTTGTCTGAAAAATCCTTAAAATAGTATATGCTTGATTGAGAAGCTAAAATTTAGTGCTGATAATATTTATCTTTCTGTTGAAATGCCTTTTAAGCAACATAATGATGTTGGTGTGCAACTGATCACTTATACAAAATATCTGTCCTTTTGATCAATGAGGACACATTTGAAAAGCACTTTAGTATTTTATTTTTACATCTTCCAAAGAAAACGCAATTCTCATAATCCCCTAGTATGTGAAATTGTACCTATTTGTGCTTGTTTTGCCTGCTGAGTTTACTTTAAAATGTCACCTTTGAAAACTACCCTTTGAAAATTATCCTTCTGCAAATAGTACCTTGAGAATGTGGCTTTTGATGCTGCATGATGAGACAAGCTAAAAATACTGATGTGAAGGTTCAGTCACGTCAATGTCTGTCAGAATGCAAGATGCTGTTAGAAATGACAATAAAGACCTGCCTTTCATGCCTTCCAGATGCACTGAAATTTTCACAGGATGCCATCAAAGTAGCTAAATAGTAGCATAAAAGCAACAAAATCTTTGTGGTTTTCAGAGTGTGTTGCCATCTTTGGCAAACTAAGTAAAATGGTAACAGATTTGGTTTGTGTTTGTAAATGTATCCTCCCCCTCTCTTCTTTAGCAGAGGAAGCATATCAAATGCCTTGTTGAAAAATGTATATATAAGTGAGTGGCTGTTTCTGAATGCTGAAAATATCTTTATGTCTAAAAATTACTTCAGACTTTGCTTCAATATATTTTTATTTTTAATAAAGTAATTCCCAAGTAAGTGTGTGACAGCTTTGCATAGTCCTTTCGATGAGTTCCACTTACTGACTAAGCTTGTGGTGTTTGGCATCTTACAATGAAAGTTTCTGAGTGACAAAATGTTACAAAATGTTTTTGGATGAGGAGTGAAGGATGTGGGGGGACAAAGTGAAATTGGAAAAATATACTGCCGGGCACGTTATGATCGAAGGATACAAAGAATGTTTTAAAAATGCTCACACAGAATAAAAGGAGAGGGAAGGGTAAAGATGAGGAAGATAAAAGGGCAAATGAGTTGTCACCAGGAGGAGATGCACAGTGTGCAAGAAAGAAAATCTTGGGCGGAAGCTGAGGTGTAGTTTTGTTGGATTCCTGGCATAGAGAGTCGTGGAGGGCAGAGAGGGAAAGGGGTGGCCATGGGGAGCCTGGGGTAGAGGACAGAGAGCTGGGGCCTCTGGCCTAGAGGAGGCCCAGGAGGAGGGAGGAGATGGTTATATATAGAAGGGAAGACCTGGGAGCAGACAGATGAAGTGCTTGTGGGGAAGGAGTGAGTATGAGCACTGGTGTGTGCTAGAAGCTGGGCACTCAGGAGCAACAGCTGTATGTGGGAATCATGTCTTACACCCTGGGCTTAGGTTGCAGGTTACTTGGCATAGTGCTTTTTATTTTGCCTTTTTTTTTTTAAGGGAAATTCATTAATTACCCACTCAGCTGTCATTTGTATACACAAAGAACAGTAACTCTGAGTCTCTGTTTGAGTAAAGCTGTTTCCACAGCCACTTCCTGCTCCTGCCTAACCTACTGTCAGGTGAGGCTGAGTGAGGAACTGAGGAATTTTTTTGCATTGACCTTTTGGTACAAAGTGCAGAGATATGAGAACCCTCTTTTTTTTATTTGACTCAAACAAGCTGCTTAATGTTTACCTTGATGCTGACTTAAGTAGAATATGCTGTAATTGCCGTATTGTCAGCTGCTGCTGTTGCTGACTTGAAGTGCTGGTTGTTCTGGAGATAAATGAATTACATGGAAAATCAGGTCTGTCTGCATCTGATGTGATTCAGCTGTTAGTATTTATAAAGGAAATAATTTTTTGTTGTTGTTGTTGTTTACTATATAACTTGTGCTAGCCTGGAAATAAAATCCCCTTCTAGTCAGGAAACACTTGTTATAGAGAGAGAGCTTCTAATGATGTGAACAGGAAGGACATTGAGGTGCTGGAGAGGGTCCAGAGAAGGGCAGGGGAGCTGATGAAGGGCCGAGACGGTAAGTCCTGTGAGGAGCAGCTTCTAGAGTTGGGGCTGTTTAGCCTGGAGAAAAAGGAGGCTCGGGAGACCTTGTAGCTTTCTACAAGTGCCTGAAAGGAGGTTGTAGCCAGGTGGGACTCGGTCTCTTCTGTACAAATAGCACTAGGACAAGAAGACATAAGCTCAAGCAGCACCTGGGGAGGTTTAGGATGAACTTTAGGAAGAATTTCTTCACATAAAGGGTGATTAGACACTGGAATGGGCTGCTCAGGAGGTAATGGAGTCAGTCCCTGGAGGTGTTTAAGGAAAGACTTGGTGCCATGGTCTAGTTTGACATGGTGTTCGGTCATGGTGGACTCGGTGATCTCAGAGGTCTTTTCCAATCCCATTGACTCTGAACATGAGCAGCGGCAACAGCAAGGTGAGTGCTGAGGAGGCAGCACGGTGACCTCTGTGGCAAAGGACGGGCATTAGCGCAGCCGCCGCCGGCCCAGCGCCAGCCGGGGGCCAGCGGGAGCTCTGACCTCCGCGTCGCTGCTTGACTCCTCTTAAGGAATCAGAGGTAGCGTAGGTGAAAGATTGATCGCGTCTCTTCCCCGCGGCCGGGCAGCCGGACCCGGCCACCGCCCCCCGGGGCGGAGCGCAGCCCTGGCCCCGCCTGGCCCGGCCCCGCCGCTCGCCCGCTCCGCGCTCTCGCCATGGCCTTCGCCACGCGCCGGTTCGTGCGCGCCGCCTCCTCCGCCGCCGCCACGGCGGCCGCCAAGAAGCTGGTTATCAAACATGTGACGGTCATCGGCGGCGGCCTCATGGGCGCCGGCATCGCCCAGGTGAGCGCGGAGAGCCCGGCCTGGACGCGGGCGAGCGGGGGTGAGCGGAGGCGGCGGCGGCGCCATGGCGGCCGCGGGGCGGCCGGGGCTCGGCAAGTGCGGCCGGAGCGGGGCCGGGGCCGCGGTGGCGGGGGAGCCCCCGCGCTGCTGCTCCTGGCGGCCCCTTCGCTCCGCTCGGAGCTGAGCCCGGCCCCGGTGCAGCGCCCCGCGCTGTCCTCGGGCGGGACGGGGCGAGCGGTCCGCCGGCGGACCGACACGAATAAAAAGCGCAGCGAAACAAAATAAAATCTCCCGCTTATCTGAGTGTGTTATAGTTCGTGTTCAGACTGTTCCGTGCTGTGGCTTTCCAGGCTGTGTTTGTGCGGGAAGCAGTGGCTGCCCTGGCCCGGCCGTGGCATCCCGAGGGGCAGGGCCGCTGCGGGCCCGGAGGGACGCGCCCCTTCTGCTCCACTGCCAGACTTGTGCGGAGTCAGGGTTGGGTTGGGTTTGATTGCTGCGGAGCGGGAGTGGGAAGTATTGCTGCACCGGTGCTGCCCAACTTTAGCACTTCTTGTTCTGTTGCTAATCCACACTTCTTCAGGTCAGACAAATAGGCAAGAATAGCCAGGGTCTATATTTTAATTTCTTTAAGGTGATTCTTAAAACAGTGTGTGGACTACTTGTAAACCAGACAGCGTATGATAATATGTGAAAATGTTGGTCCAAGAAAGAAGCTTCTTCTAACTTGCCAAGGGAGCAGATCAGGTGAATGCAAGTAGAATACAGCAGCTAAAATGGGCATTTAGCTGTCAGTCATCTGCAGAATTATGAAGTGGTTAATATTTAAATAGGGCTTATTTTCCCAATGCTTAATCTCAGGCCTTTGGCTTTCAAATTCACCTTTAACTTGATAGCTTTAGGACATAAAACTGAACAGTTCTGTCAGTGATGTAAAATTTAGATATTTATTTAATTCAAAGAAAGAGCCTGTTGCCCAAGATACCAGGGTAGTTCACAAACTTCATAAAGAGTAAGGGGAGTATGCAAACATCCCCAGATGGAAACTGATGGTGAGTTTGGAGCTCATAAATAGCAATTCTCCATTTTAATGGATTAATTAGTTTCCTTCTCAGAACTGAAGATATCTTACATTCCTGACAAATCTCTAGCAGGAGGAATACAGAGGGGTTTTTTTGTTTGCTTTTTCTTTTACAAAGGAATTAGCTAGTTGTTTTCTCACTTGTCTGGTAAAAACACTCCTCTGTATCTTGATGCTAGAGCTTGAGGCTTCCACTAGAGGAACTATCAAAGAATAACTTTGAAGAAAGTTGTTCTCATGTTTGAGGAAGATGCACACTATGCAAAGCTTATAATCTTGCAGGGAAAGTGAGCTGATCTTCATATTCTGTTAGTCTGCACATTTTCAAAGAGCGGCTTGTCAAGAGAAATATGTCTGGTATTTGGCAATAACAGGGTTTGTAGGCTACCACTATTAAGGACCAAGGATTGTTTTGCTGACCATCTGCCTCCAATTCATCAATCCAGAATTATCTCAAAGCAAAGATGATTATAACACTGAGTGGTGTCTCTCCTGTACCCTGTTAATAAAGCTGCTTTTTCTCCCTTGTTGTACACTTAAGAAATTGTCTCTCCTCTTTCCTTGCTTATTCATACTGTAAATGGTTTCATACTAAAATGTATGGTTGAAAGCCATGAGTTTATAATTTCTAATTCTGCCACTTGAAAAGTACTTCTGCATGAGAAGAGCATTAATTGACTCCCCAGCACTCATGTTTCTTATTTAGCATTCTTAAGATCATGGGGTAGTAGAATCTAGGCAAGTGTGTGTTTGAATTGCTAGGAGATGGTATGATCTTTTGCCATTTTCTTCTTTCCTGTCCATGTAACTATGGGGGGAAAACAGATGTTAATTTTTCTAGGATTTTTCACCAACTGGTCAGTGATGGTTTCATAAATGGATACTCAGTGAAGCATTTCTTACAAATGGGCTTGGTATTGATTTTTCATCTGAAGATTGAAGGGTCTTGCTGTACCAGTACAAATGATCAGCAACAGATAAAGTGTTAGAAGTCCAAACTTGGTTTAAGTGGTTTTTATCCAGTTGTTTTTATGAAATAGCTATAGTGAAAATAAAAGGAAAAAAGTTGGATGAAGACTTGCCCGTCTGCTGACTGACCCCTTGTTAAAGCTCTACTGCTGCTGTCCAGAGGCAGTCTGACATTTCTTTATTAGCTGTATTAGTTAGGCAAATTGGATGAGAATATCACCATGCTTTTCTTCATGAGATATCTCTGTATTTTTCATTTCAGCTAGCTTTGTTGGAGTAGGTCTTGTGGCCACATGAGAGTCTTTAATCTCTACATATACGATTAGATGTAAGGTAGAAGATTGCAGAAGGAAAGCTCTGAAGTTGTGTCTTTAAAAACCATCAGTGGAACGATGTTTTAACATCCATTTTATACAATTATTATATTACAAGCTCTGTTAATTCAAGAATTCTGAAAGGGAAGATAGGCTGTTGCTAACTAGCAAGAGGAACATTAATGAATAGTGAAGTAACAGATAATGAACAGATGAGTTTTAATATGCTGATGCAATGTGTGATAGTGATGTTATAAGTTTGAAATTAATTTAAATTCCAACCAAAAAGACAACCCAGTAGTGCTGTCTGTAGCTGAGCCAATGTTTGCACCAAGTATGTAGTAAGGAGATATAGCAGGTCCTTCAGGTCTGTGCAGAGTCCTGGAGTGGCAAACATTCACTTCCAGTTGTTGCAGGCACGTGCTCATGGCCTGACAGCAGAGCTGTCACTATGTCCTGGGAACACAGGGCACCCTGTGCCACCTGTTCGCCCTGCCAGCATTCCAGTTTTGGTCTACACAGTCCTTTTTCCTTACAAGATACAAGGATCACAGCTAAGCCACTTGTTCCTTTCAAGGCAACTCTTGCCATAGCTGCAGAATTCGGATGTCTCTAGGCACAGGTAGGGTTCTGCAGTCAGCGTGGGGCAAAGATGGATTTCTTTTTCCTTTTCTCTCGAGTTGAGACCTTTATTCCTACTAGTCCACCCCAGCTATCTGCAGGGTTTTATGATTTTCTATGAAAGTGCATTTGGTTCAATGTCTTTTTTGCCTAATTCATTGCCTGGTGTATCGTCTGCCCCAGCACAAATCAATATGGTTGGTTCTTTTATGACATTGATGTTGAATCTTTTTTTTTTTTTTTTTTTAACTTTCAGGTTGCAGCAGCCAGTGGTCACACGGTGGTGTTAGTAGACCAGTCAAATGAAATCCTTAAAAAGTCTACAAAAGGAATTGAGGAGAGTTTGAAGAGAGTGACAAAAAAGAAGTTTGCAGATAAGCCTGAGGTTGAGATCTTCTACTTTATTCCTCTAGGAAAACTTAGGAAAGTAAAATCTACCATATTCAAGTTCTCATATTGCTTATAGTTATGCATTATAGAGCATGTTAATATACTGGCTTAAAAAGAAAACTTTTTCCAGTGTACTGAAGAACTTTGATTTTCCTTTTTTTTAATTTAAGGAGGTTGAAAGATGTCTTATCTGGGAATGCACCCATTTTATCCAAAAGCAAATAGTAACAAAATTGTCTTAATACCTTAGTAAGGAGTGGGTTTTTTTGTTCTTTTGGTTTTGTTTTGTTGGTTCCCCCCTGGCCCCAAGACTTGGGTACAGGATTATTGCAAAGGAAAAGAGAGTGCAAGTAACATGAATTAGATGATAAGATACTGTTCATTTACATTGCTGAGTAAGACTTACATAGAGCAAGCCACTGTGGAGTAGTTGATGCATCTAAATTTGTATCCAAAGGGTTACTTGTTACTATTCTTGTTTCTCTAAATTCCACAGCAGATTAATTTCTTCTTTTGATACATATTAACATACGTTATGTATACTGGGATTGATGATTGCCAGTAGAAATGATGCAGCAGACAAAGGAAATGAAAAGGGCTTGTACCAAGATAACCAGAGCATACATACATACATACATATATACATACATAATTATGGGGAGTCTTTTAATACAAAGGAAAACTGTCCACATATTGCTTGTGGGTTTTGTACACCATTGTATTCTACCATGCAGGTTGTTTTGTTTTTTTTTTTCCTTGTACTATGTCTCCATTTACCCTTGGTGAAAAGTCTTGCAGTTCTGTTTGATTTTTGTCCTCACAAACTGTGTCAACAATTGTCGGATTTATTAGTGAAAAAACATTTTTTCCCCTGCATTTGCACTGAAACTGTAGCTACTGATTGACCAACCAGTTGATCAGTCAGACTCTTATCCTGAAGACTGGACTGCAGCAAATGGTCTTCCTAAAAGAATTAATTCAAAGGTCTCCTATTTGCTTCAAAGCAGATTTGACTGACTAGGAAAATTTTGTCAGTGGAAAGCATTGTATCTCTACACACTTAGGACTTGCTCACTGATTTGGAAATGTGGCAGACTGCCTGCATTTTTGGCGGCTCAAAAACACTTCAGAGCACATAAGGGGATTTTCATGTAAAAGTAAATTAAGTCATTGTAAACAGACATTATAACTTCTTGGAAATGTTTCAGGCTGGTGCTGAGTTCATTGAGAAGACCTTAAAGAACCTCACAACGAGCACAGATGCAGCAGCAGTAGTCCACAGCACGGATCTGGTTATAGAAGCCATTGTGGAGAACCTGGAAGTCAAAAATGAACTCTTCAAGAGGCTGGATAAGTTTGCTCCAGAGTATGTGTATTTTTCCTTTTACATTTTGAAACTTAGACCATTGTTTCTGGTGTTTTTGTGCTTAATGTTAGTTCTCTATTTTCTTAGCTGCTTTTTTTTAAAACCAGGGGTTTTTTTCTCTTGGACTAACTCCAGACCATCATGTTGGTGTGGAATAGTTGTTGTACCAGGTGCATATGTTACAAACACTCATAGGTGTGTTCACCAGGTTTTTTGCTTGTTGCATTGCTTAACGTGTTGTGGTTCCAAGTATGTTTGGTCATGAAGCTTGTCCATCTACTTGGCCATAGTTCAAATCTAAATCAAACTGCAAATGCACAACAGTAGAATAAACTTGTTCTGGTACACGTGGGTTATGCTTAACCTCTTGTTCCCATGTTTAAATTGGGAATTGGGATGATAAAATATTTGGTTTTAGCATGCCTGGCATGAACAAGTTTTAAGAACTCTCAGCCTCTTAGCCGTAAGTCTCAGTCATCTCAAAAGTGTCTTAAGTGAACCAAGTTTACTTTATATACAAGAGTTTGGAAACAGAACATTGCTGGTTATTGTGTGGTATAAAAGTGTAAATAATTTTTTAATATGCACTCATTCAGTTACAGTCCCTGGAACTTTCTTTGAACTGTAACTGATAACTGTTTGAAGTTATTGTTGAATTGTATCCAAACCTAAAAATGCTTTTAAGCTGAGCATGCAGTCTCAGAAGTTTGAGCCTTGTAATTGATGACTCAGGATCACAAGACCTTGACTGCTTGCAGGTTGAAATTTTAACTGGTATAGCTAAATCTGAGGGTATTGACTAAGAGGTATTCTAGACTGTCTAGCTAAACCTGTCAACTAGTCAAGCTGTGGCTTGAATGTAATGTCAAGGGAGAAGAGATGTTATCATTAGTTGAATTCAGCCTGGGGAGATTTTTTGGCCTTTCTCGTATGTTCAGTAGTTAAAATCACCTGGTACTTTTGAAAGCAATAAATCATCACAACCAACCATGTACTGAGCACAGGGTAACTTGCCATTACTCTTAATCTGACGCTCAGAAGTAAGTAGCTGTCTTTGGCAATTATGAGAATACCTTGTAGTGATTAGATTGGGCCTATTTTGTAAAAACAGACCAGCAGGTGCCCTAGTCTTTAATGAGAAAGTTGGACTGTACTAAATAGCAAATTGTTTAGAACCAGTCAGCAAGGAAATGTGGGCAGAAGGATTTGGAGCCTCATTTAAAAATATGTATGTTTGGAACACCCGAGGCTATGTTTCGTAAGACTGAGCTGTTTGTCAGCATAGCTGCCTTAAAACATCAAATTTTACATTACAGAGTGTTAAAAGATACTAGGAGTTGTTCAGATATGCTCCTTCCCATTGCATCAGACGTGATTTTGCAGGGTTGGGAAAAATGACTAGACAAGAAGGCTTCCTTTTAAAAGGATATTTGGAAATCATGATAAACATATGGATCTCTTACATGTAGGATAAAGAAAAGTAGAGTGAATGGCGAAGAATATGGGTTGCAGTAGAAAGCCTAGATGAAAGAAAGAAAACCGGTAAAATAGTGAAATTTAGTAGCCAAGTGTTAAAACATTAGCTGTTGGATACAAAGGGTAGTTTGTAATTATGTAAGAAGTATAGAGTTGCAGATCCTGTGAGCAGTGTGGGGAAAGGCAGAAATGTCTAGTGAGTATTTTTCCATGCGTTAGAAGGAAGCAGTAGACTTCCTTCATGCCACACGGCATTGTGGTGGAATGGAAGGCTCTCCCTGTCAGTGCAGATGTTCTACAGCCTTTGCTAAGACTGAATAGTTCAAAACTTGTAAACATATTAGATGGGCTAACTATTGTGTCATGCTCAGTGAGGGTGGTGGACTTATGGTTAATTGATATGGAAGACAGGATTTGTTTCAAGATAGCTTTGAGTCTTAGGACTTAGGCATTGATGACCCTCTGAAGTGTGTGTTACAGGCAGAGACCGTGAAAGACCAGGCTTCTGAGGAGGGAGGACTCGCCTTAATTCAAATCTCAGGACTTACCATGGGGGTAGATGGTAGCAGATGGAAACGTAAAGGGCTGTGTGTTACAGTTGCTCAGACAAGATGATGAATTCTGCCTTTGAAACAGAAGCTGTGTGAAACCTTGCATTTTCCTTCTTTTGCACTTTATTTCATGTCTCATATGTTTCCTCAGCTGCAACAGCTACTCGTTCCTTTCCCATTTTTGCACCATGATGACCTCTCCAATGAAGATAAGTCTGGGGACAGCACAAAACCAAAGCATTGCATTGAAAAAACAAAGCACAATTAACTTAATTCCTCCTCCAATTTCTTATAAAAGAACTGTAATTCCTCTGAGAGTGGATGTATTAATGTAAGGGAGTGGAAAAGCTGTTCTTTATTGAGAGAAGTTGTATTTGTGAATGGGGAGTGAATTTCCCTTAAATCTTCAGAACAAGTGTAATGAGCCAGAAGAGTGTGGCAACCCCAAAGCACATGGGGAACTCGAGGTATTCCTTATCTGAGTAACTGTCCAGGTGAAATGGTGAATGCTGTTTCCTGGATGCCCTCAGTCTGAGAGCGTAGTGGTTTATGTTCTTAGAGCTTTGCAAAATTCCTTGAGTAGATTCTGTTCTTCTCGGTGTTATTCTCACCCTCCTAACATGGTAATTGTTACTGTGTTACATGGTCATCCTCTTCAGAGCAGGATAAAGCATTCCTACCCCCTCTTCAGTTTTGTTTTCCTTTTCTTGAATTGAGTCAGTTTTTTGTTTCCATTATGAAAAGATCAGGCAAGGGTTTTTGTAGGATATCCCCAAGTTCTTTGTGGCTTTTAGTTATTTAAACACTGCAACACTTTTCCAAACAGGGTCATAATGAACATGACAAAATAATTTTTGGGTATCCACTTTAAGAGCGCTTCTGTACTTGCTTTCTGTTTATGTCTGGGGTGTGGGAATGCCCATCAACATTTCTTGGTCTAGTATTTATATTTATATGTGGGAAGTCAGCTCAGAACTGGCTGAGTTTTCCAGCTGTTCACTGTGTTAGAATCAATGTGTTATAAAACTGTTACAAAGGAAGTCTTGTTCAGTGTTTGCTGTTGTAAGGGAGCTGGGCTGTAAGAGTCAGATTTATTGATAGGGTCTGCTTCACTCGTGTTGGGCTCTGTTTTTGATGTCTTCCTCAGACCCACTAGATGGCACCAGGAGAAAGCACTCTGGTGCCTGGAAAAGCATTGCTATGGCTTCACGAGTACTGTTGCTTTCCAAAGCCTTCCAACTCTGCTGCCACCCGAAGCATGGATTATGTAATTCTAAGTCAAAGAGGCATGAAAATTCTATTTTAAACTCAATTGAAATCAATTTGTTGGTCAGAGCAAAAAGTGTTAATAAAATGCCCGTGTACACAGTGCAAATGTATTTTTTCCCCCCAAGGCTTTATATTGTGTGAGGCTACAAGTATTCACCCAAAGAAGTGATACTGAGGTAAAATTTCTTACTTAATTGAACTCAGATATAAACCTAGCAATAATTACATTACACAGATCAGTGTGATTAAGTTTTATATGAATATTTGAATTTTTATGTACAGTGGCAAACATTTGGTGAGGATAAGTGACTTTCGAATGCATTGACCTTGCTTCTTGCAAACTTTGAAATATAAGGCCCATTTATGATGGGGAAATAAGAAAAGAATATTTGTGAGAAGAGTAAACAGGAACTTCCAGGATTTTTTTATTTCCTTTTCTATAACGAAAAAGAGAACATAATAAACAATGGAAAACCATGTGGGTGTTTTTGTCCCAGAATGTTTTCTTTTAATGCCACTATAAGATGTTCCCATGGCTTGGACATAACTTCTCTGAAAGCTCTGTCGTGAAGCTCAATTATATCTCAATGAAATGTAAGCAAAATGTCAATGTAGGTTAACATTTGATGAGTCTGGTAGGATAACTTTTTGAAAGGACAGTAGGATGTAGTCCAGAATGGAAGATATGGTTCATCTCTAATTTATTTTCTGATTTTTGTGATTTGAAGAAAAAGCCATTTCTTTAGGTGTTTGGTGTGATGTCATTACAGCAGGGCAGTTGAGGTTTTGACATATTTCTGAGGAAAAAAAATCCCAAACCACAAACCAAACCATTATAAATTGCAGTTATTAAATCTGGTTTATGTCTGGAAAAGGACTTCATGTAAGTCTTAAAATTCTTGGCACGTTGTGTATCCTTTGCAGTGTCCTGTGCATGGTGGTTTTTACCTTTTCTCTGTTTGTTTCCCATCAGCTCTTTGCTCTTGTGGCAGGTTTGCTCATTGTGTCTACCATTGATCATTACATAAAAAAGTAGATTCCAAATTTTCCTTAAAGCTCCAAAGTGCATTTTCAACATGGCAAATGATTGGGTTTCAATAGATGTGTAAATGATTAACAAAAAAATTACCCTTAGGTTTCCAGGATTGCTGAAGGAGTTACCTGGAATGTATGTGGGGAGTTAAAAGAAATTTTCTACTTTCAGAGTCTTTTTTCCCAGCACCTAATAAATGTATTCAACAAACTTCCTTGACAGTCAGAAACTCACACAGTCTTTGCAGTGGCTGTACTCACACCTCAGCAAAAGGACTGTGATAAACTGCAGGAATATTTCTGAGGATTCTGGTATGGTTAGCCAGTGAGTGTCTATTTCTGTTTAGCGCATCATTCTCCTACTGTCATTTATGCAATCCATATATTTCTTGTTTCCAGCCATACGATATTTGCAAGCAACACTTCATCCTTGCAAATCACAAACTTGGCTAACTCGACCACCAGGCAGGACCGATTTGGGGGTCTCCATTTCTTCAATCCTGTGCCTATGATGAAGCTTGTGGAGGTAAGTGCCTTAGGGCCACTTCTTACAGTGGTTATTATGATCACATTCCATCACAATAACAACTGCAGTGCAACAATGCAGTTGTCATCAGTGAGACTTGAGTTAGATGAAAGAGTAGATCTCAGTTTGGAGCTCTTCTGATATGGAATTAGCTTCCTCTACTGATAAGAGGATGGTGCAGTTTCTGTTGAGGGGCAGGTTGAAGAGACAGAGGTAACTCCTTCAGTCTCGAGGCTCCAGAGTCCTCCACCGAACTGCCAACAGAGGTCGTGTTTGCAGTGATCATTTTAGGCACACAGGCAGGCTGATAATTAAGAACTACTGCTACCAGTAGGAATCAATAGAAAATTACATGAAATTAAATCTTACTGTCTTGTCACTTTTGAAATAAAGTCAGTTGTGTTTGTTTCATGTGTTTTGTCTGGAAGTATTACAGTATTTCTCAGCCTTTAAGGAAGCATAAAAAGTTTTTACATAACTCTTCAGATGTCTTTTCTAAATATACTCTCTTTGGCTACATCATGTGATTTCTAAAAATACTGAAATGCAGAGTAGAATAACATTCCAGTATAAGAGTTTATCTGAGCCTCCAAAGTAAGGGTCGCATTGCAGACAAAACAACAGGTCTCTCTTCTTTTTCTCACCTTTCCCCCTTGTGGCTGACCTTGATCACTAGAATTTACAAACTCTAGAGTAAGTGGAAATAAATTGTTATGTTTGGCCACTCTGCCCCAAAGTTTCATGTACTTCATACCCTTAAGTATGCTTTAAATCATTTTCCTCTGTCCTATGGGCCATTAGTTCTAGTATTGCTTTAGTGACAAACACTTCAAATGTGTTGTGCCTCCATTTTGAATGCCCAAGATTCACGTTATTATAGTTTTTGCTTGTTTCCCAGTAAAATATATATTATGCAGATGTTTGCTCTGTGTCCTTGAATGTATCGTTCTCCTCTTCTCCTTTTTGGAATGCTTGAATCTTTTGGTTGAAATTAACAAATTTGATTCAGAGTATGGTTGTCTGATGAGTGCTCAGACACATGTGAATTCTCTCTCACTGAATTCTGTATCCAGGTGGATTTTTAAATTTTTTTTTAGTTTAATATTGCATCCTGTGTATTGTGACTAAGTGTTCTGGAGAAATGTGGTAAGAAGGAAAGGGAGGAATTTTATAAGTTTGTCAGATATAACAAAAATATTTAGCGTAATTCCCTAGGCTAACGTAGACTTTATTAATTTCTGTACCAAGAAGGACTTGTTGGCAGTAATTTATTTCTGTGAATGAAGTGTTCTATATCTTAACCCTAAAACAAATCATAGTCTTGAGAAATCTAAACTAAGTTATGTGTGAGATTAGAAAAATACAAGATACCTATTGTTGTTTTTTAAAACCAAAACCAAGGAGTCCCTGTCTGACTGCTGTGCTCAATCTTTATAATTTTGAGGTTTTTCACATGACTTATGTCCTGCCCCAGAGTCGCTTCAGTTGATGAATAGTATTTGAAGAACTTTAAAACACAGAGCCTCTGCTTTCAGTGGCTTGATGAAGAAAGGCACCAATATTAGTAAATCAATACACTTTTTAAAGCTTTGGTTTTGTTTCAGGTTTACTACTGTAAATGAGGATTGGCATTGGCAAACACTCTAAACAACATTTTCTATGTAAAACAGGTGTTTCAATTTGAAACAATTAAGGGAAAAATCAAGAGAATCACCAAAACTATGAAAGATACTACTGAAATTGCCAGTCATTTCTCATGGAAGCTGTCCTTCATGGGTCACAAATCTGCAGTGCTTTTGAGTATTATCTGTTCTTTTCCTAGATTGTGGATCTCATGCTCAGAAAGCACACAGCTTTGAGGGGATTTCTTTCTCTAATAATTCAAAAAAGCTGGTGCTAGTTTTTCAAAATTCCGAAGTGTATATTAAAAACTCATTCTTGAAACTGTTGCAGATATTTTTATCAAATATCAAAGATCACTAATTTTTCTGCTGTGAAACAAGCCTTTTTCTCAGTCCTAACTGGTGTGGGGTTTTTTGTGTTTGCCTTATGTCAGTTATTAGAATGGGGGAGAATCTCTCTGTGACAGAGAAAGGCTGTGGATGTTGTCTGTCTGGACTTCAGTAAAGCCTTTGATACTGCCTCCCACAGCATTCTCCTGCAGAAGCTGACAGTCCACAGCTTTGACAGGTGTACTCTTTGCTGGGTTAAAATCTGGCTGGATGGCTGGGCCCAGAGAGTAGTGGTGAATGGAGTTACATCCAGCTGTCAGCCAGTCAATAGTGGGGTTCCCCAGGGCTCTGTGTTGGGACCAGTCCTGTTTAATGTTGCTATCAATCACTTGGATGAGGGCATTGAGTGTACCCTCAGTAAATTCGCAGATGACACTAAGCTGGGTGGGAGTGTTGATCTGCTGGAGGGTAGGAAGGTTCTGTAGAGGGATGTGGATGGGCTGGACCCATGGGCTAAACCCATCGGTATGAAGTTCAGTAAGGCCAAGTGCCGAATGCTACACTTGAGTCCCAACCACCTCATGCAGCACTACAGGCTGGGGGAAGAGTGGCTGGAAAGCAACCCAGTGGAAAAGGACCTGGGGGGTGCTGGTTGACAGTGGCTGAACATGAGCCAACAGTGTGCCCTGGTGGCCAATAAGGCCAATGGCATCCTTCCTTGAATCAGAAATAGTGTGGCCAGCAGGACCAAGGCAGGGATTGTCCCTCTGTGCTCAGCACTGCTGAGGCTGCACCTCGAGTGCCCAGTTGTGAGACCCTCACTGCAGGAAGGACATTGAGGTGCTGGGGCAGGGCCAGAGAAGGGCAGTGAAGCTGGTGAAGGGTCTGGAGGGTAAGTCACATGAGGAGCAGCTGAGGGAGCTGGGGTTGTTTAGCCTGGACAAAAGGAGGCTCAGGGGTGACCTTATCACTCTCTACAACTACCTGTAGCCAGGTGGTTGTCGGCCTCTTCTTCCAGGCAGCTAGCAACTGGTCAAGGGAAAATGGCCTCCAACTGTGCCAGAGGAGGTTCCAGCTGGACATCAGGAAGAATTTGTTCACTGAAAGTGTGGTTAAACATTGAAATGGGCTTCCGGGGAGGTGGTGGTGTCACATCCCTGGAAGTGTTCAAGCAATTACTGGACATGGTGCTTAGTGCCATGGCTGAGTTTACATGGTGGTGTTCGGTCAAAGGTTTTACTCAATGGTCTTCGAGGTCTTTTCCAACGTTAATGATTCTATGACTTAATGGTATGAATAAGGAGGTCAACCTTACGTACTTAGTATAGCAGTTTTAGGTTACTGCACATGGAGATTGGTTTCAACACAAATATTACAACCAGTTCAGCTTCTGCACATCTGTCTTTTTTGTTTGTTACTTTTTATTTGGGGAGGTGGGAGTTGGGGCAGGGAACGGTGGTGGTGAAGTATAGAAAATACTGTGTGTGACAGAAGACTCAGCTGTGAAGAAAATCAAGATGGAAACGTAGTACTGGAAAGCTTACAGGGCTGTCACAAAGTTGCAGGATAGATCTTAAATTTTCTTTAGAAATGAGTGTCTGTTGTGTTTACATTGGGCACAGGGTAGATGTTATAAGCTGTTATATCAGGAACTGTATCTGTTCATATGGTTCCCTGGAGTGATGTCTTTGTGTTTCCCAAGACAACAGAGACTATGTAGCTTTTAAAGTTGCTTTGTTATACTATAATCTCTTAAGTGTGATTCCAAAGGATGGTCCCTTTTACCACCCATCTATAGTGGCTGAGTGGGAAAGTATCTTAGAGAAATGCACAGTTTCAAAATGTGCAAAATGCTGTATCTATCTTTAAAATGGATTTCTGTGTCTGTTATATATATATCCAATTTATATCCATTGAAGATTTTTTGCAAAACAAATGTTTTATTAATTTCTTGAATAGTGTTCTAGATAACAATTTAATCATTGCTGTAATGGGGATGAGAGGAAATGAGAGAGCTTCTGCTCATAAATATGCTTATTCTCTCTCTACCTTCCCTCTGCCCAGGTCATCAGGACTCCAATGACCAGTCAAAAGACTTTTGAATCTCTTATGGATTTCAGTAAAGCAGTAGGAAAGAGTCCTGTCAGTTGTAAGGTGAGTATGTTTTGACTGTACAGTGTTCAGAGGGTCTGTTCTTGTAGACTGTTAATTTTAAGGTGGTAGGTTTTAGTGGATGTAAGAGCACTTCAAGAATTTCCGGGTTGCTTCTTGTCCAGTTTCTCTTCCCTATTAAAAACAGTTTGATGAAGAAAACATTCGTAATTACCACAAATTCTTAAAGGTCAGGTGACTGTAGACATTTTGCCTAGAGCAGCAAAACTCACAAGTATCAGGGTTTACAGTTTTGGAGTCTGTTTTTAAATTCCTGCAAAAGCCTAGACTGGAGAGCTTAAGCAAGAACTCATCTTTTGCCGTGCTGGAGACAAGACTGTTGCCTCTTGTACTGTGAGGCAGTTGGATGAATCCTCTCTGGTGTGTGCTCATTCCAAACTTTTCTTAAGACTGCAGTAACGAGACACAAATTAATCTTAAGAGCTTTGCAGCTTTGGTTTTTTTCTCTAGAGTAACACCCTGCTTCCTAAGCACACTTTTTCTGAATCCATTAAGTTGTGGTCTGGGTAGCTTTATGCAAGCTATTGCCTTGAGTTTCACAGCCTGTTTCTGGTAGTGGACACACACAAAAAAACCTATTAGAGAAGAAATGCTCTTCTCCTATCCTTCAGGAAATGGCATCATCAGAATTTTGATAAAGAAAAGACATTTGCCAACTGGCCACGTTAATTGTTTTAAGATTAATTGAGTTGGACTTGTAGTAGTCTTACTGTTCTTTGTCATGATGAATGTTTATGTGCTATTCCTTGTTTGTGAAATTCATCTTTTATGTTTTAATACTGGGCAGATAAATCAGATGAAAAATACAATTCAGAGAGTATCATAAAGTGATGATACACTTCGTTCACTTGTTTCATTTGTCATGTAGCGTTTGAGTGTAGTACTGGTAAAGAATGTGTACTTAGAATCCCTTTTTTATTTTTCATAGGATACTCCAGGGTTTATTGTAAACCGTCTCTTGGTGCCATACATGATGGAAGCTGTTCGACTTTTTGAGAGAGGTATTTGTTGGGATGTTGATTTCAGGGAATGTTGACATATAATACTACTAAATGTTATGTCACTTCAGAAAAGCCTTGAGATTCCCTCAAAACTTTCAGATCTTAAAGGCTGGAAGTGAATAGTGAACTTCAAATATGAGCCAGTATGCCTTCACTTTGAAATGTTAGGTTGTGAGGAGTTGGAAGGTAGTAGTTACTTGTGAGGGAAATTCCTGGTGGTGGAAAATGTTTCTGACTTGGAGGTGACAAAGTGAGTGTAATGCCATTGTAAAAATATCCTTTGCCGACTATTCAGGAACCTTCCTCTCTCTGTCCAAAGAGGCATTGATAAAAGTGGTTGAAAATCCCATTATGGGACCATTAGCAAAGTTCTCCTGAGTTCACTCATATGGGGCTTGTGAAATAAACCACCAATTTTCAGGTGAGGTAAGTAGTGTAATAGTGTCACACTATGGTACTGGCATACAAGTGATTTGGGCTCAGCTATTGCCACATAAAATTCTATGTCCTTTTTTAGACATAGGTTCCTCTGGAACTCCCGTCTCACTGCTGATCTCTCTTATATTGATTCTGAGGGTAGGTAGAAATAATCACTAATCCCCAAAGAACCACTGAATTTTTCAAAGCATTGGTACTTGTTTTGAAAAGAAAACAAGCCAGTAATGAATGTAGTGGATAAAGAGGAAATTACAGAGTGTAATTGCTTTTATTTCAAGTGCTCTGCTCATACTGCCATGATACTAAGAATGTCATTTGAAACATTTTGTTTTTGAAATCACTGTTTTCTTACAGATGAAAGCACTCCATTTTCAGGATTTCACCTAATATGCTTTAAATATTAAAAATCTCTTTTAAAGCACATGGAAGAAGTGGTTTGATCTCCAGAAAAAAAAAATAAAACAACACTACTTGTTTATCCATCAACAGATGTACCTAATTACATCTCAAAGGGAGAAAAGAGAAAATTTAGTGACTTGAAAGGCAAAGGCATGGATGTGAGGGGGCATTATTCTCTTAGAGAAAGTCACAGTTTTAAATAGAGCGTATGGGTGTTTCACTGTGTTTAAAAGAGGTGCCTTTGTTAAGTCACATGTATCATTGTGCATATTTCAGGAAACAACAGAACTTTTAATTAAATGCAGGAAAAAACAGTCACTGAGTTTGTATGTTAAAATTGACTGGTTTCTGCTAAGCAAAACAATATTTCGATTTAATCTTTATTCTGTTTGTATTTTGTTCCACAGTAGGATATTTCCTAACTTGTTAAAGTTAATTTGTGCATTTTTAATGAAGTCTATTTAAAAAGCTGGTTGATGTTTTGAGAAGACCGATGGCTGTCTTTTAATTCATATTTTCCATTGAGTCAGGTTAAATTTTTACCATATCCTTTGTGTTAATCCTCAGAGTAGACAGTTGAGCCAGATTGTCATCCACATTAGAATGAAATTGTGTCTCTTTCCTGGCAACCTCAAGCACTGAAATACCTTTGTATTGGGCCAGTCCTTGAGTTTTTATTTATACACAATCTCATGCTGCACTTAAATGTGCACTTTCTGCATAGGCAGAATACCTTTAGTATATTAACAGTGGTTTAAACAGGGGGCATATTATAATATGTGGTGGTCTGTACTTCCCTGTTCTTAGTGGAAAAACTAAAAAGCAGTCAAGTTTATATAGAGTCTGCTTTATACTAGGAGATACTATTATGAATTAGGGGTATAACCCTCGCTTGTCCTTTTGCTGGTTTTGATTGTATTGTAGTGAAACTATATACTGTCAGGTGGCCATGTCCTAAGTTTGACAAAGTGGGACAAATCTGCTGATAGAACAAGTATGTACACCTGCATCAACTTCAAATGAGCTGAGGATTTAGGCGTGTTTGAATTTGGGGAACTGAAATTATGTTAGAATTAAGTAAGGTTACTTTTTCAGGTTTCCCAGAAATAAAATGAGGTTTTAAAAAAGCCCAAACATTGTCAGCTTTAAAGAGTAAAGGGAGATGTATATAAATTATTACTTCATATAGAACTGTCACTGGAGTGGTTGCCTTTACAAGAGATTTTGTAAATTTATTTCTAAGAATCTCTGATCTTAGGCATATAAATTGCATAGGCTATGTCTGCCAAGCTTTTGGACACCCTGAATGCCTGTACGCATTGAGCATGGAGGTTACTTAACAAGTACCTCTGGGGTTTGTATAACTTCTTCATTTTTTACAGGATCTGCAAAGAGGTACACTGTCTTTATCAAAATATGTATTAGAATTAAGCAGTAGAGGTGCATCTGCTTTGATGACAGTATAAAATATGTATTCCCAGGAAAAGAATGAGGTGAATATTAACTGTGACAATACAGGATTTCTATTTTTATAGGCACACACTGAAGTAGAAGTAATAAATTTCTGATAATTTCAATTTCTTTTTTTTTAACAACTGCAGAATTCACAAATTTAACTGCACCTGCATAGTCTTTTCAGGTCTCTCCTATCTACCATCTCTGATCATGGCCAGGCTTCGCGAACGAAGATCTGGGAAAGGCTCTATCCACATTTGTTACAAGCATACTGGTGGCTAACAAGGCCAATGCGAGATATCCTCCAGTGAAAGCTGCTGTAACTAAGCATGCTACTCAGCTGCTACTGTTCCCCTCTCCATGCCTGCCTTATCCATCAGCTGGATATCACTTGTCTTCTGGCAGTTGTAGAGTAAGGGTAGCTCTGTCCTTTGCATCATTCAAAAGCTGCTGCTGATCTCATGAAGATGAAATTTAGTCATTTCCTTACTTACCTATTCTGCTGCCTCTAAAAGAAACTCTTGATTCTTCATAGTGACCAGTTCTTCCTTTAGTCTTTTTGAGAGGTTCAGCACAGTAGCTGTGGCTCTATAAGTAGCATAGTGATCTGTATTGAAAGGCAGGAGGAAGCTAGAAAAATAGAAAGCAGGCCTGCAGGGCTTTTTTTTTTTTTTTTTTGTGAGAGATTCAGCTTTATGCTCCACATGTGTATGCTGACTCTAGTTTTTGTGGCTCTGAAACATGCAGAGATTTCTGTGAAGAGCTGCACCAGGGTGAAATAACACCCTGTTAATTATTTATAAGTGGTGCCAAGTAGATGCAGAATCTTCTCTGTTCATCAAACTGTCAATCTTTTCTCTAGGAGATGCATCAAAGGAAGATATTGATGTTGCTATGAAGCTTGGGGCTGGCTATCCCATGGGTCCATTTGAACTGCTGGACTACGTTGGGTTGGATACCAGTAAATACATTATAGATGGTACTGCATGCTTATTTTGTTCTGTTTTCCCCCTTTTTAGCTACACTGTAGATGTTCTAATGCAAATGTGACTCTTAATTACTTAAACTGAATGTTTATGGCATAGCCTTTTAACTGTTCAGGAGAAAGGAATGAGAATTCAGCTCAGAATGCTGTGTGAGTACAGCATTTGTACTGCATGCTTGTACCCTTTGTACACAGTGGTGGTTTTGCTGACCTCATCGAGTTCCATTGGAAAATAATAATAATAATAATAATAATAATAATGATACTTTATATAACTAAAAAGAATCAGGGGGAAGAGAGACATGTACTGGAGGTAAGAAATTCTGATGAAAAGCAACAAATATTGAGACTCCTTATCCTTTTTCTACCAACTGTGTTTTCATTCTTAATTAATAGGAAATGCAGTAAATACCTCAAAAGATATAAGTAAATCATTTCCCTTTCACTTCAGTTACTAAGTAGATGAATGTCAATACAGTAAAAAAACCATACATAATTGGTGATGGCTTGTTGATGGTTGGTGTATTCTTTTGAATGAGCAACTTAAATATTCTCCAAGGCAGAATGTCACTTTGAAAAGGGCATTTTCAGTGAAACCTCTTTTGCTTTTAGTTAATACTGTGGAGTAGCATTACATTGTTCTTACTGTGTCTTTCGCAGGTAGAAATTCAACTTGGAATTTCTTTGCACTTAAATTTCTTTTCAGCTAGCTGTTGTTTTATTTCCTTGTACTTATCTATGTTTCAAAAGTTCTCCTTAATTTTTTTAAAGTATTAAAAATCCTCAGTCCTGGAGATTATAAGGCGTTCAGAGTACACTATGCCTAAAGACTAATGGATAGATTTGCTCATAATCATCAGCACTGATCTGTGCTTTATGAAGCTGCATTGAAGGGTCTCAGAGGATCTACAATAAGTTCCAGACCTCCTCCAGTTTTCTGACCTCTGAATATTTTTCTAAGGAGATGCAGATCTCTATTATCTTTGGATATAAACAGAACTGTTACTAATTCATCCACTTCCTTTCTTTTCCAGGATGGCATTCATTAGAGCCGAACAATCCTCTTTTTGCACCCAGCCCACTCCTGAATAAACTGGTAGCAGAAAAGAAGCTGGGTAAGAAGACTGGAGAAGGATTTTACAAATACAAATGAATTCCACACCTCAAGAGGTGTTAAACTATCTGTGTGCTATTCAGCGTTGCCATATTACCGGTGAATTCTGTTTAAACCTACCCAAGGATGGCACAAGGTGCATTTAGAACATAACCCACCTCTGAACTGAGTGATTGCACTAGCTAATTATGGTCAAAACTTGATTTGGTAGATTATTTTTTCTTGTAATTCTGAAAAGCTTTCTACATACAGTGCCTTCATGAAATGTCAATTTTTTCAGGTGCAGTACGGAATGACAAGTGAATTTATCTATTAGAAACATTATTTCAGTGATGGGAAATATCCTAAAAATAACCTCACTTTCTTAAAAATAAAATTTTCAGTAATTCTGTATTGAATGTCATGGCTTGCAGTTGGTGTACTTGGATGGAGTCCACTGGGTGGCAGTCTCTTTTCACACTGGCAAACGTAGCAGCGGAAAGGCAGTAAGTTGTTTTGTTAGGTTTTTCTTAGGTGCAGTGCTAATCTGTAGGTGTAAATTACAGTGCCTTGGACAATAATTTTTTGAAAGTCATATTTAAAAATAAATTAAAAAATCCCACAATGGCAGGCTGTGACCCAGACAGAAGGTTCCCAATACAGCATTTAAAAGCAGAGCTCATCACTTCTGTTGGGATTTTCTAGCATATTCAGGTGGCAGTTGAGGGCCTACTTTTATTAGGTGCTGTAGAACGAAAATGAAGATTTCTAGGTGATTTCTATTCTGAAGGGCCTAAGCTAGGAAGCTGGTGAAAGCTTCTGTATGTTTTCTCAAGTCCTGTAAATTGACTTTATTAAAGTGTCATTTTTACACAGTACACTACTACTGTAGTTGAGTACTTTCAGGATTGCAGCTGGGAGTCTGTGCTATGTAAACAAATACGTGTGTCTGGCTGTGTGAGGCACCTTCTGTTTTGCAACTTTATTTCCGTGGGGCTTAGTGGAGCCTGAATTTGTCCATGGTGGGAGCTCATCAAATCCTGTCTTTATTCCAAATACTGCAAAGCAAGTGGGCATGAGGGTTGGTGTTCCAGTTCAACTGAGTGGTAATGTTCCTTTACTTTGTGTACAAAGTGCTTACATATGTATTTTTTAATTAAAGAAATGATGAATAATTATTTAATGCCAAGTTGCCTCTTTTTCCCTCCTCCATCATCTAATTCAGATTGCATATAAAGAAACTGAGGCTGACAGATGTTAATTTCCTTGCACATGATCACACAAGAAATCTCTGAGTAGAGAATAAAACTTTTTGGTTTATTGGATCCTAATTGCAGGTCATCTGATTTTGAGCAGCTTGTCCTGAAAGAAAAGGGTAAGAGAAATGGTACTGCAGAGTCTCTTTTCTTTACTAATATATTGGTAAATGGACTTGAAGGTTCTTAATGCCTGTAGATCAGTTTAGTGACTTTTAAGTGCTGCAGGGTAAAGTTAGCTTCAATACTATTGTTTTCAGTAGTAATTGAAAATGGAAATGTGTGTTACTCTTGTGTCTTAAAAAATGCTGTTTGTTTTTTAAGAAAACATTTAAGCAGAATTAACTTGCTACTGCTCCCTTTACTTGGAAGATCATCTTTAAATTGGAAATGGGTAGGTTTATAGCAAGGCATAGGCTATTTAATGTTAAATGTGGAAAATATTTTTCACTATTAAATGTGATATTTTAGAAAAATAAGCTTTCTCTAAAACAGCGTTTTCCTTTCAGGAGCTCTAACAGATGTAGTATGTGTATATGTAATACATACAAGAAACCTGAAATAGAGGCATTTTTAAGTTTGACTTGCTATTTGAGAAGAGACTTCTTTTTCTCAGTAGCAAATAGGCCATGTGGAGGTACTTTACTGGTGGGTGGGAATGGTTTGTTTTATCAGCACGTGGGGTGCTGTGCCAGGATGAGCAGAGACGAGGGCAAAAACTTCAAATACTTCTTCCTAAATCTAGATAGTGGTAACTGAAGCCATTGAATCAAGGTAAGCCTTTTTTTTTGCTCCTCGGTAGGGAGGCATGGAGAATGTAGAAGTCCCTTTTAAGGTTCAGAGTTGTGAGGAAATTGGTCAGAAGTAGGATATTAAATAGTTCCTCCTGAATCGAAGAATTTCTACAGCTTTGATAGTTTAAAGATTTCTAGGGTGCCTAAAGAATAGGTAGTGAAATGAAGGAATTGTCTGTCACCACCTTTTCCTCAGTAAAGATTATTTCCCAGCCCTTTCATGGGGCTGTGACTTGATACAGAGGTACATGAGTCACCTTCCACTGCACGTAGTGTTGACAAAGGGGAATCTCCTGCTGGTCAGTACCTCAGACTAGGATGTGTTACATTGGACCTGCTCTTACCAGTGAGCTCTTCCTGAATTTTTATTAATAGGAGAAAAGAGATTGTGGGAAAAAAATGAGGGATAGAAGAGAAAGGAGGGAAGGGTGTTTGTCTCACTGCCTACTTTTAAAACCTTTAGTCTGTGTTATCCTTCCTGTCAGCAGGCCTCACAGATTCAGTCGAAGCTTTGAGATCTGAGCTTGGCACAGCTCAAGGGCAGCCTGACAGCTAACAGCTGAGGAGTCGGACATGAGCCCAGCCACTGCAGCTGGGAAGATGGCTCCAGATTCAGCATCTGGGTCATTTCAGCTGCCAAATATGCTCCATCTGTGGTCAACCTAGCTGCTGACGCGGCTGGGGAGGAGAGCACAGCACACTTTACAGAGGGAGTTGAAAGCAGAATCTTAATTGCACTGGAGGAGGGTGCTCTGCATGAGTGGCTTATGAAGTATAAAGTGCAAGAGGTAGCAATGAAGTTTGATCTGAAGAGGAATTGGGTGTGTAGAAGTTAAAATTTGGCTTTGCTCTAACAAATGAAATATTCTCCATTAATGGCACTGAACACAAAAATGCTTGTATGTGGGTCGGTAGTAGCGGCTGCACTGTTAAGTGCAGATGCCCTGAAGTTCTGAATCTGCATCTGTGTTTGCAAGTCATTGAGCTTTTCCAGTGTACTACCATAGGAGAGTAGTTTTCATGGAAGATACGGATGTCAACTTGCAGTATGGATTTGAATTTGGAATGGAAAGTGGAATCTGTTGCTTCCTCCTTCCTTCATTTTGGGGACTTGCAGAACATCACTTTGGTAGGAATTTAGTTGGGAAAACCACATTCCCAAATAATTCAATGTATATTAATTTTCTGTTGATGGAAGTTTAGTCCCTGGAAATGAGTAGCTGTCTTGAAGTGAATAGCCCAGCTCTGTCCAGATGAGAGTTTTTTGAACTTATGCCTTATTTTACACAATAGAAAGAAGGGTTGATGGAAAAACTGCATAAAATAACTTGGAAATCTGTCTTTTTTTCTTTCTTAGACTAGTTGTATTTGTCTCCCAAGCCATCTGACCCAAGGGCTTTGAGCTGACAATGCAAATGTCCTTCAAAAACCAGTTAGACAGAAGTTAACTTCAGCATCTAGCATGGGCTCTTCAGAGCCATGAGATCCAGTACTACCAGCCCTGTGCTCCAGCAGTGAATCATGTCTGAAAGGCATGGTAGTGGCTTCTCAGTGAGATTCAGGGTTTTGTTTTGGTTTTGCCTCCTTAGTGCCCCAAGGGTGGTCTTGGTTTGAAAAGGTCTTGTGTGTTCCTGACTTTGTGCCAGGCTTTGGTCAGTAAAGTCTGCAAATGAGTTACATTACACAATGTAATGTATTCCTGTGACCAGAAAGGTAGGTGCTGGAGGATGTAGGTACTAGCAACAACCTCAGTTGGGTTACTTTGTACTGTAATCCCGTGCATTATTGAGGCCCAACATCCCTGAGGGCAGTCATTTGGGTGTATGCAGTGTAGTAGCATAAAGGTGGTGGGATTGCATTGTTCCTTGGGGAAAAAAAATAAAGATTGTGACCAGCCATGAGGAAGCATGTGCTGTTTCTGCTGCTGCTTTGGGAAGGCACTTTTGACTTTTTTTATTTCATTTATTTCAATCCTTCTTGCAGATAGATTGGAAAATGTGTGTGAAACTACAGGTGCTTGCAGTTCTCTAGTGAATTCTTTGTGTAAGCATCCACTGTGTAGCACCATGATGTTTTCCATGTCTCAGAGTATTGCTCCGCAGGCCTGTGTCCATTGTTATAGATACACAGCTGATGGTTATTGCCAGTGTTCATACTAATAATTTTTGTTAAGCTGTCAGCACCTAATTGCCAATGTTTAATGCATGCTTGTTATTTCTGAGTCAAGAGAAAGCCACAGTACCAAGTGGCTTTAAAGAGTGGGCAAACCAGAAGCAGTTTTTGTAGTTTGTAGAGGCCAACTTTCCCTAAAAATTTACTACTGAAAGTTTTGGAGCTCATTTTTTCAAGAGAGGCAATAGTAGCTGTGCACCTGTAGCTGTGGTGCTACATTCTTACTTTTCTTATTAGTACCACAGCAGTGACCCACATCTCTGTATTTTTCTTCACTACAGTTTGCAGCCATGTGAGCAATTGTAAAACTGACCTGAATGATGCCTTTTCGCTGTGCTTTTTGGAAGAGCTGAGACCAGGAGCAAAAGCAGATGCTGTGATTCTTTAGAGAGCTAGATCTTTTCATGTTATATGTTCCTTCAGTAGCTTTTCCTGTTGTTCACAGCCAGAGGGAAGTGCTTGTTCTGAATTCTGTTAGAGAAAGGTTAAGTAGAGCCACAATCTGGTAACTGTAAAGATGATTTGTAGAATGATCTGCCTTGAATTTTATGATCTTCTCAAAAGTTCACATCAAAACGGAAATCACTTTTTATATACCATTTGCTATCAAGTATACTGTTTCATTTATAAATGCAGTGCTACACAGAGTCTTAAATTAAATGTATATGATCACAGAACTGTCTGTGATGATGTCAGGGGTTGTTACTGATAATATATTAATCAGATTTAGGTTTGTATGCCCATGGAGCAGCTTTGCACTTGTTCAATTCACTCTTCTCTTATATCCCTTAGAGGTTTTTTATTTGGTTTTCTGTAAATTGCAAATAACTCACAGCAGTGTATTCCTTGCAGAGAAACTAGAACCATAAAGCTCTGATGCTGGCTGGAAGTTTTAGTTGCTTCTGGGGCAGGAATAATACAAAGCATCAAACCTAGTTATTAAAGGAGCTGTTTCTTTTGGAAACATGGTGGCATGAGACATCACAGTGAGGCGTAAGGCCAAGTTTTGTTTCCAGCCTGGAGTCAGATGCTGTAAGTTGGCCAGGGCACAGGAGGATATTTTAGCACAAGGCTTTTGCTTGGCGGGCACTAAGGAACTTGTCGCTTACTTTGGCTGTTCCGTGCTGCCAGATAACAGGATTTTTTTCCTAGCCTGTTTGCTGCTGCTTTGCTTCGTGCATCTCTGTCCTGCCTGGTAACAGCTTCTTCTATTCTGGTCCAATTTTTCTGCCAGCAACCACTTCTAGGGTGGTTTTCTGTAAATGGACAAACCCTTACAGTATTCACTAGTTAAAGAATGCAAGTTTTTTGTCATTAGTAACTGAAACCCCCCATTTGGAGTCTTGGCTTCAGCAACAAAAATGTTGTGGATTAACCACTTTCACCAGCAAGAGGCTTTCTGATGAGCTGTGGGAAGAAGTGTATGCTTGGTGGTGGGTCTACAGTAAACAGCTGGAATTTGCATGTGGTGAATTAGCACCAAATAAAATCCCCTTTTTTTGCCTTAATTATCCCTGCATACAAAAATGGATCTATTAAACATTTGTGCAATAGAAATTGGTAAAACCACACATTTACAGTAAGTGGATCTTCTTTGCTCTGTTGGCGGCAGGACCTGTGTAGGTAACACAGCAGTCTGTGATCCAATGGAGGGACCATTCTGTTCCCTGACTCCTCTGCATGCAGTGATGCCCTGAGTCAGATTGGACCACTGCAGCCGTTGGAAGGAAGCCCTGGCCTCAACTTGGAATCTTCAACTACTTTACAGTAACTTTGTTTGAAAGCTGCTGTTTTGAATCCTACAAAACTGTAAGCATAAGCAGGTGTAAATATACTGCATTTATATTTCACAAGCTTTTTAGTTCTTTAAAGTTTTCTTTAGTTTTCTTTAAAGATGTTGTAAAAGGTAAAGTGTTTCTGGCAACTGCTTGAAGTCCTTATTTCTGTGAAGATGTCAA